TACAAAGTGAGCTCAAGGCCAGCCTGAACTGCATAGTGAGACCCTGTCTCAAAAAGGCAAAAAAAAAAAAAAAAAAGATTTTTCATGAGTGCTCACAGCAACCTCAGTCATTGTAGCCAAAATCTACAAACAACCCCAGCTATAGTGCATGATAGGGCTGGGGATGCAGCTCATTGGCACAGCACCTGCCTAGCAAGCTCGAGGTCGAGGGTTTGATTACCGATACCAAAAAAAAAAAAAAAAGCATGATAAAAGGTGCTGTTGACATACAATGAAACATTACTGCAGCAATAGAAACCAACCTGTTACTGATACATACTGACCCAACTAAAGGGATAAATCACATACGCATTATTCTAGGAGAGATGCCAGACACAAAAGAGTATATACTATATGATTTCATTTATATGATATTCTAGAAACACTAGTCTGTAGAAAGAAACAGCAGATCGGTGGTTCCCAGGACCAGTGTGAAAACACAGCTCTGCTGTCCAGAAGCATGAGGAAACTTCTGGGGATGAAAGGAATGTATCTTGATTTTAGCAGCTTTTTACAGTGTATACATTTGCCAACACTCTTTAACTTAAATACTGGTTACTGTTCATAAAATATAACTAAACAAAGTTAAAAAAAAAAAAAAAAGAAAAAAAAAGAAAAAACAACCCCTTGGGAAAACTGACCTCAAACCAGACCACATATAGTTCCATTGATGCTGCTGCTCTGAATCTGAGCTCAAAATTCTAAATTACAGCTGGATGACCACGCCTACAATTCCAGCACTTAGGAAGCTGAGGCAGGAGAACTGATGAGAGTTTGAGGCCAGCCTGGGCTACATGTTCCAAGAAAACAAAAAAAACAATTCAAAATTACAAAATATTTAAGCACTTGGGAAGATGAGGCAGGATAATTGCTGAGAGTTCGAGGTGAGCCTGGGGTACATAGTAAGTTCAAGGCCAACCCGAACCACATATCAAAAAACCCTATCTCAAAAAAAAAAAAAAAAAAGATGCAAACCAGGGGTAGTGTAAAAAAGAGATGTAAACCATGTGGTGCCCAGTAGTCAGGAGGCTGGGGCAGGAGGATCACCAGTTCAAGGCGAGCCAGCACTACAGAGACAGCCTGTCACAAAAACAAAAAACAAAACCCACAAACAAACAGAATCAAGCACAAGAAATGCAGAGAACAGAAACAAACAAATCCAACCAAAAAAATTACATATGAGACATGTTAGTCAGGTGCAGTGGTGCATGTCCGTAATCTTAGCTATTTAGACTGAGGCAGAAGGAACATGAGTTCAAGGCCAGCCTAGAAGGCTGATACCCCGTCTCAAAGAAAAAAAAAAAAAATCAAATACATAAACATGAGATTCAAAAGAAGCACGATTTAGAGGTTGTGACTTGGAATTTTTACAGAATTGTTGAAATATGAAATATCACCCAATTAAAATACACCATGTAATAAAATGTAGAACACAAATGACAACACAGAAGTCTTAAAAATAACCAGAGGAAAAGACAGGCTTCTTACAATGAAATAGTAGTCATTAAATTGTGAACATAGTTTTTTTTTTTTGAGACAGCATCTTGCTATGTAGTTTAGGCTAGCTTTAAACTCACTGTGCAGCCCAGGCTGGTCTCAAACCTGAAGTGATCCTCTTGCCTCAGCCTCCCTAGTGCTGGGATTACAGATGTGTACTACTACACCTTTTTTTTTTGTTTTTTTTGAGACTCAGTCTCGCTGTGTAGTTCCGCCTGGCCTTGAATTCATTATATAGCTATGAGCATAATTCTTAAGCGTGATGGCAAAAAAAAAACAAACCTGAATGAAATTACATTTTCAAAGTACCTAGAAAAAATATTTGGAGGCTTAGTTCCCAGCTAAAATATCAATCAAGTTTAAAGATGGGGGGGTGGTACACACCTGTAATCCCTGCACTGAGGGAGGAGGATCACCATGAGTTCGACGTTAACCTGAGCTACCTAAGTGAGTTCAAGGCCAGCCTCCACTACATAGTGACCCTGCCTCAAAAAAAAAAAAGACTGAAAATGAAATATATTTTTTAGTGAAGACAATGTTTACCACTGTCAGACCCCCACTGAAGGAAACATCTAAAGATTTTATGTATCCATTTAACAAACAAAAGAATAAAAGGAAAGAAAATATGGGGAAGAGTAAATATACAGAGGTAGGCCAAAATTATCGCTAACAGCACAAAACAATTATCATTAATTGTTTGGGCTGAAAATGTAGTTCAGCGGTAGAACACTTGCCTAGTATATGTGAGTTCCTAGGTTCCGTCAAAGTTCAAGATTGAAATGAAATGGACTGCCTTTAAGAATAGTCTCATTCTTGGAAGTAATCATTTTGAGCCCCAATAACATTTTTTGATACATTTAGTGTGCACTGGATAAGAAGCTGAATTAAATGACTTCAATACTTTCTCACCATCAGATTTTATCAATTAGACACAGCTGTCAAAACAGCCCCTGATCAGAGATATGTTTTGGCATTTGAGACAGACCTCTGCCCCCATCCTCCAGTTCTAGAATTTAAATCTTAGTTCTAGGCATTCTTCCCAGTTCCATATTCCACAAGTAAAAGAAAAAATTCTAAGTAGAAATATTTCCTAGACACGTGTGGTGGCATATGCCTGTAATCTCAGTGCTCAAGAGGCTGAGACAGGAGGATTACCAAGAGTCTAAAGCCAGCCTAAACTACATAGCAAGACCCTGTCTCAAAAAAAAGTTTCTTAATGACCTTCTCAGGTAAGATCTTCTAGCTTTTGAGGAGTACTATACCTTTTCTTGCTGGATTAAGATTCAGGCATTAAAATTATTCATCAGGCTAGGTGTGGTGGCACACGCCTATAATCCCAGCACTTGGGAGGCTGAGGCAGGAGGATCACTGTGAGTTCGAGACCAGCCTGGGCTACAAAGTGAGCTCATGCCAGCCTGAACTGCACAGCGAGCCCCTGTCTCAAAAAGACAAAAAAAAAAAAAATTAAAAATTAAAAATAAAATTATTCATCATTTGCTTGAATTTGGCCCAAGAAAAAAGTATGTTGTGATTTTTCCTCTAACAGGGAAAAAAAAAATCACCAGCTATGTTGGTGCACACCTGTAATTCCAGCACTCTAATCCCAGCACTTGGGAGGCTGAGGCAGGAGGATCATTGCAAATTCGAGACCAGGGAGAAGGATCACCACGAGTTCCAGCCCAACCTAAACTATATAGTAAGAGCCTGTCTCCAAAAAAATAAATAAATAAATAAAACCAAATTATGTATTAATAGTCATAACATGTTTACATCTTGCATAGCCATTAAGACACAGTAACAACAGAAATCACTATCTAGAAGAGTGGACAAACCTGCAAAGAAACTCTAACACCAGATGACAAGCACTACCTCAGAGAAAAGCAAAAGAGGGTGATCTCCCAGTCTTCACACAGTCACATCCACATCACTTAGGTTTTCTTGTTTTGTTTTTTTTTTTTTGGCACCACCAGGAATGCAACCCAGGGGAGGTCTAAGACTAAGCTGCATCCCACCCCCATCCCCTTTAGTTGTTTGTTTTGTTTTGTTTTTGGTTTTTCTCCGGTACCAGGAACCGAACTCCACGACCTTGCGCTTGCCAGGTAGGCGCTTTTGCCGCTGACCTAAATCCCCAGCCCCTTGTTTTGTTTTTTCTTTCGGCTTTTTTTGAGACAGGGCCTCGCTATGCAGTTCAGGCTGACCTTGAGCTCACTTTGGCCCCGGCTGGTCTCACAGAGCTCCTCCTGCCTCTGCCTCCTAAGTGCTGAATTACACATGTGCGCCACCACGCCTGGCAGTGGTTTTGTTTTGAGACAGGGCCTCACTATGTAATCCAGGCTAGCCTCGAACTCGTGGCAATCCTCTTGCTTCGGCCTCCCGAGTGCTGGGATTACCCGGCCCCAAACCTTTCTGAGACAGGATCGAATTTGGGATCCTTCTGCCTCAGCCTCCACAGCAGCTTGGATTACAGGTGCGTACTACTGCGCTTAGCATAGGTCTTCAATTTGTACTCTCCAAGGTGCTTGCACCAATCAGTCACTTTACCTGATCTGACCATTACAACAACCTAGGTAACGCAGGTAAAACCATCTTTTACGTTGATGGAAAGTGAAAGTCAAAATAAATCATTCTAAAACAACACGCACCCCCACACTGCCTCTTCCCGTCATTTATTTATGCCCAACCATCAAAAATTTCAAGCAGAGCCAACCTCTCACGGGGTGTATTTTCCTGGCTAAGTTAAAACATTACAAACCTCAGGGTCCCCGTCTGCAATAAAGTATAGGAAGCTCTGTAAGGAAAATTAAAAAGATGTTCCTTATAAAGGATGCAACTGCCTGCCAGATACGTAGGGAGCGTGCGCAGGAAATTTTTGCTACTATTGTTAACAATAACCGGCGAGGACTTTCCGTTACAAGTCTCCCCAGCTACAGTCTCTCCGGAACTTGCACCACCCCGCACCCGCGTCACCTCAGACCGGCTCCCACGGACACGCCCCCAGATGGACGCGCCCCAGGCCTCCCCCACAGACCTTCGCCTCTCCCTCCAAGCTTACCCCTACCGGTCTCCCCTCTCAGACTCAGTTACGAAGGACCTGCGCTCGCACTGCCTCTCCACCACCCCCGTTGGGCCCGGGCATCCCTGCGGGCACCCAGGCCGCACCCCAGCCGCGGGCCCGCGCCGGTTACCTGGCCGCGCGCTCCCGCAGCGTCGTGCCACGCGCTCCCCCGGGTCGCACCTCGCGGCGGGCTCGCGCCAGCACGGGCAAAACGCAATTAGTTTAAACTACGGCCCCGCCCCCTCGTGCGGGCCTCTGATTGGCCCCTGGCGCCTGTTTTCGTTCGCAGGTACACTGGAGGACCCGGGAAAAGGAAGTGTGGGGGCCCCTGGGAAGGGAGGAGGGGTGTCGCCACTTCCGGACCCCATCGCGACTTGTGGGCCCAGGAAACTGCAACTCCCAGCGTGCCTCGCGGCCTACAGGTCCTGCTAGGCGTCGTGGCTGCGCTTGGGGCTCCGGCTGGGACGCGGTGACGAAGGCAGTTACCATGGAGTTGCGCAGTGTAACCCTAAAGTAGTGGGACGCAAAGGCTGTGAGGGAGGCGCGACTGCGGGTGAGTCGGCGGGGAAGCAGGGAGGGGCGCCACAGAAAGACTAGGTTTCCCTGATGTTCCACTCACTATCTTAAAAGTTCTTCCAAGTTTGTTTCTTTGTCTGCTTCCCATCTCAGTCTATAGTCTTTTCTTGGGTACTCAAGTGACACCCACAACTTCATGTGCCACCCGTATACAGATTTACACAAGTGTGTATGTCCAGCCCCGTCCTCTTAAATTGCAGATCTGTATAACCAGTTGTCTCCTGAATATCTCCTTTGGAGTATCTCAAAGGCAACCCAGTTTCAACATTACCCAATCCCAACCCTCACTTCTAAGCCTGGATCTTCTGTTGTTCCCACACATTATACACAAACTAAAATCCAAGAGTTATCCTTTTTTTTTTTTTCCTTTGTCTTTTTGAGACAGGGTCTAGCTATGCAGTTCAGGCTGGCCTCGAACTCACAAGGATCCTCCAGCCTCAGCCTCCCGAGTACTAGGATTACAGGCGTGCACCACCACGCCCGGCCCAAGAGTTATACTTAACACCCTTTCTATTTTTCATTTGTCGTGATTTCCCACAGGCCTTACTTTATTTTTCAGGCCTTACTTTCTAAATATCTTTTTTTTTTTTTTTTTGAGACAGGAACTCGCTATGCAGTTTAGGCTGACCTTGAACTTACTATGTAGCACAGGCTGGCCTCGAATTCACGGAGATCTTCGTGCCTCAGCCTAACAAGTGCTGGAATTACAGGCGTGCACCACGACACTCAGCCCTCCGAAGAGCCTTTGCACACAGCTATTCTGTCTGGGTTGCTCATCTTTTTAAAATTTTTAAATGTGTGTGTGTGTGTGCGCGCGCGCGTGCGTGCCCTAGGAATCAAACCCAAGGCCTCAAACATGCCAGGCATATGCTGTACCACTGAGACACACACACACACACAGCCCATGAAATACTCCTCTTTTTCCCTGCTATCCTGTAACTTACCCTTCAGTTCTCTGAATCACTCCCTCAGGAGTGAGCAAGTCAGATCTCTCAATTATAGCAACTTCATGTCCCTCTTCTTTGTACTGTTATTGTTGCACTTTCTTAGATAATTATTAAATCCTACTATTCGCCCCTATGTGCAGCTGTTAGTGAAAACCTGGTTCCTGTCCTGGTGGGATTCATGGCCATAGTAGACGACAAGCGGAAAATTAGTGTTTTGAATGCTACCACGGCAGTGAGTAAAGCGTATTATAGGAGCCGAGAAGTTCTACCTCCAGATTTGTGGATAAGGGTAGGCGTCTCAGCAAAGTTGAAACTCGAGCTGAGTCCTGAAGTAAGAATTGGCAAGGAAAAAAGAGGATGAAATTTTATTATTCCAAGCAAAAAGAGCTGGACTGGAAGAGTATTCCATTCAAAGGGCCAGAGACACGGGCAGGGAACTTAACTGAGTTGTTGCATTTGGCTGGACTACAGAATTGGAAATAAAGACAAGAAATAGAGAGGTTAGGGCTGGGGATACAGCTCAGGGGCACAGCACCTGTCTGGCAAGCACAAGGTCCTGAATTCGATTCCTGGTACCAAAAAAAGAAAGAAATAGAGAGGTTAGCAGGAGCCAGGTTGAATCCCCAGGTTCTCTTTGATACCTGGGAATGTATCCTCCAGTATATATTAGACAATGTTGCAGATTTTTTATAGTGTGCTTTGATTTCTCTTCCACCTGCAGCCCATAAGCTGTCAATGTCCCATCAGATTTTCTTACCTGATTATTGCTCAAAGCTTCTTGTTGCTACCTGCCTGGGAGAGGCCAGAAGTGGGCTAGCAACAAATCAAATTCCAATTTTCCAACTGGAAACCAATTTCTGTCAACTTAGGATTGGTTAAACTTAAATTAAGTAAATAAAGTATGATACATACTGAGGGATACTCTGCAGCTATTACAAAAGGTAAGAGAGTTGACAACAATTTGAAAAAACAAGTTTACAAAATAATTCAGTGTTAATGTTAAGATATACATAGCTTATGATATGTGCATTCTAGCAGGTAATCATCTCAAACTGTTTATGGAGATTCAGGCTTTTTGTTTCTCCTTGTACTTCCCCCTACTTCTTTGTGAGGCTGAGAATCAAACCCAGAGCTTCATACATACCAGGCAGACACTGTACTGCTGAACCAAACCCTCAGCCCTGCTGCGTGTAATTCTCTACATGGTTTGACTTGATTTCTTTTTTTTTTTTTGTCTTTTTGAGACAGGGTCTCGCTGTGCAGTTCAGACCGGCTGTGAGCTCACTTTGTAGCCCAGGCTGGTCTCGAACTTGCAATGATCCTCGTGCCTCAGCCTCCTGAGTGCTGGGATTACAGGCGTGCACCATCACATCTGGCTGTTTGACTTGATTTCAACTAGTATGTTTAGTTGTTTTTTTTTTGCTTGGTACTGGGATTTGAACTGAGGACCTCGTGCTTGCCAGGCAAGTGCTTATGCCGCTGAGCTATATCCCCGGCCCTGTCAACTATCATGTTAACTTTCACAGTTAAAAAAAAAACAAAAGTCAAAGCTAACACCTATTATCGAAGCACTCTGGGAGACTGAGGCAAAAAGATTCCAAATTCCAACCTTGTCTGGACAACTAAATGATTTAATGAGGTCCTGTCTCAAAATGAAAAGGGTTGGATGCACAGGCCCTGGATCAATCCCCAGTACTACCACAAAAAAAAAACCAAAAGTTTTTTTTTTTTTTCCAATTTGAAAAATTTCCAGTTCAAAACAGAGCAAGTATGTCCCTAGCCCTGTCATTTTCTAGATCAGTCTGGTCAGATGAATCAGATGCTGGACTCTGTCTCCATGTCATGAGACAGAAGAGCAGAGAAAGACTGACTCCAAAAACAGCCACAGGACTGCAGCCTCCCAGCTTTGTCAGGTCTCCCCAAAAGTCAGACCCTTTGTGTGACACCCTGAAGACCCCATTTATTATTTTCCTTTTTATTGTTGTTTGTTTTGTTTTGTTTTGTTTTTTTGAAACAAGGTCTCACTGTGTAGTCTAGGCTGGCCTCAAACTCACTATATAGCCCAGGCTGGCCTTGAATTTGCAGCAATCTTCCTGCCTCAGCCTCTTGAGGGCTGAGATTAGAGGTATGGCCCATCATGCCCAGCATAAAGACTGCATTTATTCCTACATTTCTTCTTTCATTTATCCATTTGCCCATCAAACCAGTAATGAATACTCAGTTTTTGCCAGGCTCAGTGATGAATAATTGGAGAAGCAGAGAAGTCTGACTTGTCTCTGCCCTCAAATTTACAGGGAGGGAACAGAAAATAGTGTAAAGGAGATAGTACAGAGTACAACTGCTTCCATTTATTCCAAGAGAGAGTTTGTCTTCACTTCATAGATAATAGGCTGCAGTGAAACTGTCTGAAATACAAGGGGGTAAGCATCAGTTAGCTATTGCTGTGTGACAACCACCCCCCAAAAGAGAGTGGCTAAAAACAATAACCATTTATCATTACTTCTAAGCCTCTGATGAGTCAGCAGGATGATTTTTCTGGCTGTGGGTGGGCTCACTGATTAGCCTGCAGCCTTCTGTGTGCCGGACAACTCTCCAGATCTTGCCCAGAGGTGACCTCAGCACATCTCTCACCTCCCTTCAGCAGGGAAGCATGTTCCCTCCTCGTGGCCCTGCAGGGAGCAAGAGAGCAAGCCCCCTTTAAAGCTCCTGTTTGCTGAATGTTTCTTGACACCCCCTTGGCCAAGACAGGTTACACTGCTGTGTCCAGCACCAGAGGGGATGGAACTATAAAATTACAGGGCAGAAAGGAAATAGATACATGAATAGGGATCATCAAAGCAACCGCTCTAACACAGGACACACTGACCAATTTTATCTGGAAAAGGGAGGCTTTGTAGAACAAGGTACACCACAGCTGAGGGTCAAAACATGAGAGTGTTCACTGCATAGGCAGCTGTTACTTGGAACTGGATGCAGGCAGGTTTGTGCCACGATCAGTAGAAACCCAGCAGGTCTTTCTGTGCTTGTAACAGGGTTCTGTTATGTGTATCTTGGCTTCATTCCTTTTGGTCAGGCACAGGGCAGCAGGCACTCCACAAATGTTTGCAGAACCAAACTGATATTGTACTGTGAGTGAAATGTGGAATAAAACAGTTGAACCTGGGACCCAGTAGTTGCAACAGTTTTGCATTGACTCTCCCAAAATAGAAATCCTTGTGTGGAGCAGCTTCTCATTCATTCATCCCACAAACATTTCCCAAGTGCCTAGTGCAAACCAGGTTGTAAGATGATAAATAAGATATGATTCTAGTTCACAGCCTGGGCTACTGTTTTATTGGAAACAAATAAAAGAGGTTTATTGGAAACCCATTCCAAATAATAATAACGTATCCATTAGCAAATTTATCCAGCTGCTTTTTCTTTTTTTTTGTAGTGGGGGACAAGGTTTTGTTGTGCAGTTCAGGCTGGCCTTGAACTTACTTTGTAGCCCAGGCTGGCTGTGAACTCGCAGCAATCCTCCTGCCTCAGCCTCCCGAGTGCTGGGATTACAGGTGTGCAACACCATACCAGCCTTTATCCAGCTCCTTGAAGCCCCATTTTTATTACTGACTCAGAAAATCAATTAGGAGCTGGTGCTACACAGAATGAATTCTTAGGAACTGTGCTGAAGTTCTCTGGTCACCAAGGAGATTAGCAGTAAAAACCTGCCCTTCAGTGTTTTAAGCTAAAAATCCATGTTCAGTGGTAGAAAACTTAGCATTCCAACCTAGGACTTTCTTTGAGAAAAGTATTCAGGCACCAAGTCTGTTGTAGGTGCTGCAATGCCTAGGTTTGTCTCAGCTAGGTTCCTCTCTTTCTACAAAAGAATAGATGTTCTTTATTGACTGCTTATAGACTAAGACAAAGGCCAGGTGTGGTGGTGCGTACTGTAATCCTGCACTTGGAGGCTGAGGCAGAAGAATTGTGAGTTCAAGGCTAACCTGGGCCACATAGTGAAACCGTCTCAAATAAACAAAAGAACAAACAACTGGAGCTTGGTGTGGTAGCACACACCTGTAATCTCAGCTCTTGGGTGGCTGAGGCAGGATTGCCATGAGTTCAAAGCCAGCCTGGGCTACACAGTGAGACCCGGTCTCAAAAAACAAACAAACAAACAAACAACTTTATTGCAGTGAATGAGTCTTGCATGTGTGAGAAAGCATGTCGGTTGATTAGGCTATGGCCTCTATGTTCCCACAAGCTCTGTTCCACCGCTTGAGGAATCGTTTTCATGGCCAGCTGCACATTTTCCTTCTTGTGGTTTTTTTTTTTTTTTTCTTGTACCGGGAATCGAGCTCACAACCTTGAGCTTGCCAGGCAGGCGCTGTGCCGCTGAGCTAAATCCCCAGCCCCACATTTTCCTTCTTGATCACGCCTTTCCTTCTCTGTTTCCCTCACCCCCCAGCAGGGGAGTTAAGAAAGGATCTCACCATGTAGTCCAGGTTGAACTCATTACATAGCCCAGGCTGGCCTCGAACTCACAAAGATTACAGGTGTGTGCCACCATGCCCAGCTCCTTCTCTACTCTTGCTTGGCTTCCTGCCCCCAAGGCTTTCTGTCTCTGGTCAGGGACAGGGCCATCTCCAGAGCGGAGGAACTCAGATCTCTGCACCGCTGCTCGCCTGCTCCAGGCTTACCTCAACACTGCCATCCGTGGTTTCTCTGGCGACCACCCTGGGCCACCAGTCCGAGTCTCCAACTCCAACTCTGCAGCCTTGCCATTGATATCCTGTCTGTAGATGTGATATCTCAGAGATTGAGCCCTCCCTAACCAATAACCCACATCCACAGGACTGGCCCCATGACAGAACTCAGCTATTACCTAGCTCAGGATAGCACAGGCCCAAGTTCAGTCGAGACTGCTGCTCTTTGAGAGCAAGACCTACCCTTTCTAGCCCTTAAAACCTGGTAAATGGAACTGTATTAAACCTAAGCTAGAACTGGGTTCTCAGTTTTTAACAGAAATTCTATTTTAAGAATATTTGCCAGCTGGGCCTGGTGGCGCACACCTGTAATCCCAGTACTCTGGGAGGCTGTGACAGGAGGATCACGAGTTTGAGCCAAGCCTGGGCAACTTAGCAATTTAGTGAGACCCTGTCTAAAATAAATAATCTTAAAAGGGCTGGGATGTAGTTTAGTGCAAAGGCCCTGCATTCAAGCCCCAGTATCACAAAAATATTTGTCTATTCCAGTGTCTCTACATATAGACTAATTTCTTTTTTGAATGCAGTGATAATATATCCACATATCCCAAGGTTTCTATTTTTGCTTTGTCTATCAGGAATTTCATAGCTAAATATAAGCATAGATTTCTAAAATCTCTGAAATATCTTCTTTTAATCTAATTTCTGCATCTACAATAGCCAGTTGACAATAGTCAACTCATCCAAATTGTAAGTGTAAAATATTTCGATAATTTCTAATATTGGGTACATGTTGAATATTTTAGATATATTTGGTTAAATAAAAAGATCAATTTTACTTGTTTCATTTTACCTTCATTATAGCTTCTGGAAAATTTCTATTACATAGCCATTGGCACAGTGGCACATGCCTATAACCCCAACACTTGAGAGGCTGAGGCAGGAGGATCCCTGCAAGTCAGAGGCCAAGCTGGGCTACACAGTGAGTTCAAGGCCAGCCTGAACTACACAGTGAGACCCTGACTCAAAAAAAAAAAGAAAAAGCCAAAAGAAAATGTGCGTTACATGTGAAAACTATTATATGACAGGCTTGCATGTGTAACTTGTGTACTGCACCTCTGCTGGACAGCACTGTTTTACACAACATCCTGTTTCATGAGTCTGTAATTACGCTAAACCTCATCCAACAGCAGATGGAATGAAAAGGAAGGTTGATTGTTGTTTGTTTTTGAGACAGGGTTCTGCTGTGTGGTTCAGGCTGTCCTTGAACAACGTAGCCCCAGCTTGTCTCTCATTCAGTGATCCTCCTGCCTCAGCCTCCCAAGGACTGGACTTACAGACATGCACCACTACAACTGGCTGGTTTTTCTTTTTTGATACAGGGTCTAGGTTTTTCCAGGCTGGCCTCAGCCTCCTGAGTATTGGGGCTATTTGTCTTTTGTCTATGTGATTAACATGCTAAAAACCCCTTGGTAAAGTGTTTTCAGTTCTCTTCATTCCAGGTGAGTGAGTAGTAGTCCACGACTCTCCCTAGTCTCCAGCAAAAGCCTGTTCCCAGCTTTACATCAGCTAACAAACTGGAACCTGATAGGACAATTCACACCACATTGCAAATGACTGATGACAACTTTGTGTTCACCCCTCTCGGGGAGTATTTCCATTTTAACAGGGAACAATCCCTGAGCCCAAAGGAATGAATCCCTAATGGTGGAATTTCAGGCACCAGTGACAGGTGAGTGTGAGAGGCACACCCTGGTTCTGTGTGTGTTCACTGTCTGGAGCCACGCTCAGGATGTGGCTGAAAGTAGGGCCTTCAGGTGGAAAGGGAGTGAGACTGTGGACAAGGTGGGCAGAGAAGGTGGCACATCCGCAGCGGGGTCAGATGACAGGAAGCTCTCAGACACCAAGCAGACCCAGTGTAGCCTCTCAAGGGTTTGTTAAGCAACAGAGTAGCCCAGCTGATGTCACCAGAGGGTAGCTATAAAGACAGTCTCCATGGTAACTATGGTGGAGTAGCAGAAACACTGAGAGGAGGATTCGGGAGACGGTAACTGCAGTCTCCACCTGACTCACTGGCTTAACTCTAGGCAAGTCTTTCCCCCCTTGGGTGTTTCTTCATTTGGAAAATAGAAAAAGGTGTTACAGTTATCAGACACGTTCTAAGAGGTGGGGACATGCTCTGAGGAGAAAGTCCCCTCCAAATGCAAGCAATAATGGTTAGTATCTTAGCTGGGCAGGGTGGCGCAAGTCTGTAATCCCAGCACTCGGGAGGCTGAGGCAGGAGGATCACTGTGAGTTTGAGGCCAGCCTAGGCTACATAGTGAGTTCAAGGCCAGCCCGAACTACATAATGAGAACCTGTTTCAAAAAAAAAATTTTTTTTTAAGTACCTTAAAATGGAAACACAGCTAGGCAGGTGTAGAATAGTGGAGGGAAAGACAGGTGGTGGGTTACAAGGAAAGTCGGGGTAGACGGCCCTTGTGCCTGGAAAACCCATCCTTCTCTCTCCTCCCAGGCTGCACCCAGACTCCAGGCCGGTGCTCGCAGGTGCTGAATGATGGCTTGAACTATGAGCAAGCAGGACTACATGAATACTTCGGTGCAGGAGCCCCCTCTTGACTACTCCTTCAAAAGCATCCATGTTGTCCAAGGTTAGCCCATGAGCACAGCCCTCTGCTCACAGGGCAAGAGGCCCATGTGGTCCCTAGCAAGAAACCATAGTCTTCTACTTAACAGCCTAAAAGTGCCTCTTCTTACACACTTGTTGGTTTGTTGTGGTCACTGGAGAAGTGGGGAGTCAGAGTTTGTTTTTCTGGTGCTGGGGACCAAACTCCATCCTGGGTAAGTTCCACTGAGCTATATCCCAACCCAGAAGTTTTTTGTTTGGCTTGTTTGCTTTTTAACAATAAATCTGAAAGGAACCAGAGGCCTCTTAGAGTAGGTGACCATCTTCAAAAGAAGCCAAACAGCAGGGCGCGAGAGTGCACGCCCATAATCCCAGCACTCAGGGGGCTGAGGCAGGAGAACTGCCATGAACTTGAGGCCGGCCTGGGCTACATAGTGAGTTCAAAGCCAGCCTGAACCAAAGAGCAAGGCCCTATCTCAAAACAGCAGAACAAAACAAAAAAGAAAAAATTAAATTTAAAGGGCTTAGGGAATATAACTCAATACAAAGGTCCTGGGTTCAATCCCCAGTCCCCCCCACAAAAAAAAAAAACAGGCAGCTAGCTATGATAGCACGTGATTGTTATCTCAGCTTCTTGGGAGGCTGAGGCAAGAGGATCGCAAGCTTGAGCAACTTAGGGAGCCCCCGTCTCAAAATAAAAACAGCTGGGTATGTAGCACTCCCTGAGTTTAATCCCTAGTGCAGAGGGGGGGCGGGGAACTGGGACATCAGTCTACCAGCCAATAATTTCTTTATTCTCTCGCTTCTTCCTGAAAGGAGGAGGAAACTAGTGAGCAGAAAGTACAGGCTACTGCAAAATTCCAGCAAATAGGCAGAACTATCACCTCTGTCTGGGAACACAAGTCTGTTCTAATCACTGGTAAACATGAAAGGGCTTAATTACTAACAAGCTGACATGTTTCCAGTTCAAATATTTATTGACAAGTTTCTGACATGCATTCCAGCCATGCAGCTTCTAACACTGCCCACATTCACTCCTCTTTTACAGTGTCTCGGTAAATGGGGAGCTGACACCCCTGTGGAGGGCATACGGGACAGGCTCTCTGCAGTGCTGGTCTCGAGGAGTCAGCAGTTCTTCCCATTTTCTGCCATTCCTGGCTTTTCTAACCCGTCCTCACAGAATACATGTTCACACCCACTATCCTAGACTCAGTAGTGGGCTTTGGTCATCTCTGCTGGGCAGCTGAAGCTGCTTGTAAGCTCGGGAATGCTACTAGCCTTGGCTGGGTTTAAGACACAGGTCAGCATCAGCCACAGTTGTAACCCTCATCTGCTGTCTCCCCAACGCATACCCACCTACTGTGATCTTTGTTGTACACCAACTCCATCATTTCTGATTGATGTAGTCCACATTTCAAAAGGGGGTTAGATGCAGTAATGGCTGTGTGCAAGGTGGCTGAAGTGACAAGCGTGCGGGGAGTAGGGCTCCTCCTTATTGTGGAAATTCCCAGATCTGAAGGAGGGTATGTAGCTCTTCCCTCTGGACTCCTCAGAATGAGACAAGCTACTACTACCAGGGGCTTTTTGGCCAGGCATGGGAGGCTGAGGCTAGCCTGGGTTACATAGTTAGTGAGTTCAAGGCCAGCCTGAATTACAGAATGAGACCTTGTCTCAAAAAACGAAAGAAAAAGAGGAAAAAAGAAAAGAAAACAGGGGTATCTCTAGGGCATAAACCAGAATCCACATATAGGCCTTGTCCTTCATTCACTACTTCAGTGTTTACTGAGCATCTACTATTAAGCGCTGCTGTATATGGATAGATGTGTATACACACAGAGGCAGTGCGCTCCTTGCTAAGTATGTGTCAAGGGATGGGGCAAAGAGGCGTATCAAAGTCTCCAAAGGCCAGAGTCCCTTCAGTGCTCCAGAGCTTTGGAAATATTTATCACTAGGATCAAAGGACAGGATTAAATTTGGGGGTACTTGGGACACTTATTTGCTCAACTAATCAAGATGGGTCACAGAATCTGAAATGGTAGTGGCCTTGGAAAGCATTTAATTTGTACTACTGGGTAAAGCAAAACCTTGGGGACCGTCACCAAGCATGGACTGATCCCATCTACAACCCACAGTCCCTAACTTCTCACAAACCTAGTGTTAAGGGTGTCCCCCACCATCCACACCAGCTTCCATCAGGGGGTCGATGACAGGAGGGTCTTCACATCAACTGACTTCTCTGGGAACACATGGAAAAAGCTGCATGGCAGCCCTTCAGAGATGAGAGGGCAGGATGCTTTCTCCTGGTCCTTCTGGACGCTCCCAGTTCTGTGACTGTTGATGTTTGAGGTCTGGTTTCCAACCTGTCTTGGCCTGCTCTGAACAAGGAATTTTTTTTTCTTTTTTTTCTTTTTTTTTTTTTTTTGGTAGTAGTGAGGATTGAATGCAGGGCCTTTGCAATGAACCACATTCCTACCCCTTTTTATTTATTTTGAGACAGGGTCTTGCTAAGTTGTCTAGTCTGGGCTTGAGTTTGTTATCCTCCTGCCTCAGCATCCTAAAGCACTGGGCGTACAGGCCTGTGCCATTGCATCCAGCTTGAACAAGGAAGCCTTTACTAGATCCTCAGATAATCTAGTACTTTGGTGGACTCTGAAGGGACCAAGAACCTACAGCAGCCTGGACACCCCACTCCAACCGTGCTGACAGCAGCTTCACATTTCAGGCAAATCCATTTATCCAGGGGCTCCCGGTTTGGGATCAGCCCACGTTTAGTGGCATCTCAAGCTTCTCTGCCTCATCAGACTGGATGCAAGTTCATGTGAAGTTTTTTTGGCCTTAGTTTTTATTCCTCTGAGGGTTGTCAGAGGGGTGGAGAGACGATGCCAGTGGTCCTCCACTCTGCGCATCCTCCTCACTCCAGGACTAAGGCAGAGAGCCATCTGGTGGATGCTGCCTGCCCTGCAGCTGAGGAGAGGAGTAGGGGTGAAGAATTGTGTCCAGTGGAGAACTGAAGGGAGTGTGAAGACAGCCTGGCTAGGTTTGGCAAACTTTTTTTTTTTTTTTTTTTGTGTCCAGTGGAGAACTGAAGGGAGTGTGAAGACAGCCTGGCTAGGTTTGGCAAACTTTTTTTTTTTTTTCTGGTACTGGGAATCGAACTCATGACCTTGTGCTTGCCGGGCAGGCGCTGTGCTGCTGAGCTAAATCCCCAGTCCCTAATTTGGCAAACATTAAATACTTCTTCCCCTAGAAACACCCTTTGATATTAAACATGTTTAGGAGCATGGGGAAAATATAATCATCCCAGCCAGATTTGGTGTCTGGTTCTGGCTCTGCTACTGATTATGAGCTTGGGCCAATGCTTTTAAAAAGCAGCAGGGGAAGAGTTGTTGCATGGGTATCTCCTCAGCCAGACCTTCAGAGGTGACTGCTACGTGGTTGTATTTCCTTACCTTTCCACTTACTCCGCAGCTCACTCCAATCTGGTTTCTAGTCAAAAAATCTGAGACTTCTGAGTCACCAAGGTATTTTCCAGTCTTTGCCTCACTATAACTTCTATAAACTTTTATTTTTTGAGACAGGGTCTCACTATGTAGTTCAGGTTGTCCTCAAACTCACAGCGACCCTCCTGCCTCAGCCTCTTGAGTGCTAGGATTACAGGCATGCACCACCATATCTAGCACTCTCTGAACACTTTTTAAACTGTTTTCTTGGTTCTTCCTGTCCTTCCCTGATCACTCATTAGCTTCTTTTCTTTAGAGGTTTTTTTGGGGGGAAGAGGGGCAGGGTCTTGCTATTTAGTTCAGGCTGGCCTTGAACTCTATGTAGCGCAGGTTGGCCTTGAATTAGTAGCAGTCCTCCCTCACCTCCTGAGTGCTGAGATTATAGGCATGAGTCACCACGCCTAGCCCTCATCTTCTGGGCTTCCCTTCCTCCTTAACCCTCACTTAACCCTCACCTTAACCCTGATTTGTGCACTCTACATTAATGATTCTCAGATCTGTCTTTGGAGCTTCAGATCTCCATATCCAACTACCTACTTGGTTTCTCTACCTTTCTGTACTGCAGGAACCTCAGAAACACCAAAGCCAAGACTGAACTCATCACTTTACCAACCTAACCTCTCCTTTTGTAATTATCAGTTAATAATCTACCCAGTCACCCAAACAAGCAAAAACTGGGCACCACCCTTGAATATCCTTCTACCCTTGAATATTCATTCGAGTTATGCTGCTTGTATATCCCTCTCATCTCTTGCCTGGATGACTAAAACAGCCAAGCTGGTCTTGTGGTCCCACCTACCCACACAGAAGCTCCAGAGGGATCTTTCCAGCGAAAACTCTGAATCATTTCCTTTGCTTTAAGGGTACTGGTGGCTTCCCATCACCTATAGGATAAAGCCCAGATCCTTAGCCCGGCATTTAAGACAAGTGACTTAAGAGCTGGGCGTGGCAGAGCACGCCTGTAATCCCAGCACTTGAGAGGCTGAGACAGGAGGATCACTGCCAGTTCGAGGCCAGCCTGGGCTACAAAGTGAGTTCAAGACTAGACTGAACTGTATAGTGAGACCCCTGTCTAAAAAAGACAAAAGAAAGTGACCGGCTCCTGTCTTTTTCCTCCTTGTCCCCTTAGGGAATATGCACTGGGCATGTGTGCCTTTGCCCGTCCTTTCTGCACCGCTTTGCTTAGCTAACATCTTTTTTGTTCAAGTCTAACAACTCTGGGTTTTGGTTTCCTCATCTATAAAATGGGAGTGGGCTTCCCTCACTCTCATTCCCACATCACACTGGTATATGGAGGACTCTGGGACATAACAGACATGGTCAGACCATCTGACCTGCAAAGCCAAGAGCTTGAGATGCACGTCTTTGGCTCTTAGTCCAAACTTAACTGATTGCTGGAACCCATCAGCTCCTCTAGCCACAGCTTGGGACACTCATCTTCCCAGCTCTGCTCCTTCCCACTCTTTAAAGCCAGAAAAGCAAAGATGACATACCCAAGCATCACTCTGTCCTCACAGATCTGGTTAGTGAGGAGCCAAGGACAGGGCTACGACCACTGAAGCATTCGAAGTCGGGGAAGTCACTGACCCAGTCCCTGTGGCTGAACAATAATGTCCTCAGTGACCTCAGAGATTTCACTCAGGTGGTTTCACAACTGCTGGAGCACCCAGAGAACCTGGCCTGGATCGACCTGTCCTTCAATGACCTGACTTCCATTGACCCTGTGAGTTCCTAGCCCTGGAAGTCTGGGGGGTGAAGGTAGGGGTCCCTGAAACTACTCTGGCCTCTGCACTGTCATGTCTTATCAAGGGAGTAGAGGGGCAGCATGGCGCAGTCCAAAGCACATAACTGTGGGGTCACAAAGATGTAGGTTCAAATCCTGAGTTTGCCTCTTATTCTGACTTCGAGCAGCCTCTCCAAATCTCAGCCTTAGGTGGGCATGGTGGTGTACATCTGTAATCTCAGAACTCTGGGAGGCTGTAGCAGAAGGTTCGAAAGTTTTGAGCCCAGCCTGTGCAGCTCAGTAACTTAGGAAGATCATTTTGAAAATGAAGAAAAGGAAAAATTAGAAAATGAAGGAAAGGGCTAGAGATGTAGCTCAGTCCAAAGGGCCTGGGTTCAACTCCCCTATGCAGACCAAACCATACCATCTTGACAGGCGTGGTGGTGCATGCCTGTAATCCCAGCACTCGGGGAGGCTGAGACAGGATTGTTGCAAGTTCGAGACCATCCTGGGCTACAAAGTGAGCTCAAGGCCAGCCTGAACTGCAGAGCGATACCGTCTCAAAACAAAACAAAACAAAAAAAACCCATACCATCTTGCCCTGCCTTTTCAGGAAAATGAGAATAATATGTCAGCATCACAAAGGTTTTGTAAAGGTTAAATGAAAGTAACACGAGCATCAATAGCAGAGACAGAACGCTAGCTGCTGTTGCTGGGCACCTGCTGTGTTCTGTGCCGAGTTCTGCTGTGGAAGAGGTAGTTAGAAAAGTACACTGCTTACTTGCTGAAAAATCTGATTCAAGTCTGAAGAAATAAAGAATACGTGGCCCCTTCTTGCCAGGATCCCCGTTGGTAGGGTAAGGGGCTGAGGCATGACTTAGACATTGTTACCCTGCTCCGTATCTTACTTCAAGTATCATAAAGGCTTTTCTTATGTGCCTGGCATGACATTGTTCCTATCTCCTGCTTCACTAAACCTTCGGTCACAGTGAAAGGGCAAGTTAGGCTCAGGGAGAAGCAGGCAGAACTGTCACCCGGCAGTGCTGGGACCCAGAGCCCATATCTCCTGCCCATCGGGTCACAGCTCTACCTCAGTGATAGCCCCATAACCCTTAAAAATAAACGCAAGTACAGAGTCACCCACTGAGTGAGGGTCAGAGAGGAGGGCAAGTGGTTCTCCCAACTTCCCCTTCTCTGCCAAAGTCAGTCCTGAGCAGAGACCCAGGGTCCTGTCCAGCCCGGCTTCTGGGTTCCTCCCCACAGGTCCTAACAACATTGTTCAACCTGAGTGTCCTCTATCTTCATGGCAACAGCATCCACCGCCTGGGGGAGGTGAGCAAACTAGCTGTCCTCCCTCGGCTCCGGAGCTTGACACTCCATGGGAACCCCATAGAGGAAGAGAAGGGGTACAGGTAAGTGTCCCTTCCCTGGGGCTGGGATCCAGCTGGGCTCTCCTGAAGAATGCGGGGATGAGGGGAGACAAGAAATCTAAGACGGTTCTGCTGTGTGTGGACCTGAAAAGGGAGTAGCAGACCTCGAAGCATTTCTTGCTGTCAGAATGAACCCAGTCTCCCCGCAAACCATACTCCAATCTCTCCATTCAGAGGAGAGCAGCAATGGGGGAGGCAGAGGGGAAGGGGATTGTGCCTGTGAGTCTTCCCCACAGGCAGTATGTGCTGTGCAGTCTGCCCCGTATCACCACGTTCGACTTCAGTGGGGTCACCAAATCAGACCGCACCACAGCTGAGGTCTGGAAACGCATGAACATCAAGCCCAAGAAGACCCACATCAAGGAGAATGCACTCTGAGCTTCCCTCAGGTCTAGAGCCCTGAGGACAGTCAGGTTGGCTTAACAATAAATGATTTGAGCTGTTCAGCAGATTAGAAGTCATTTGTACCTTTTTGTGATGTCCTCCAGCTCCAGCAAGCATCTGTAGCTCCAGCCTTACTTCACCAAGGAAGGCTGTGGAGGAAAAGGCCTACTGGCCTGGGACATGGGACGGCTGGCTATACCACATGGCCTCGGGCAATTCATCTAGCCTCTCTGGGCCTCTCTGTACTCGTCAGCTTAGATATCATGGAATTAGAGTAGAAGGCTACTTTCCAAGTTCTTCACTGTGCCAGGGTGTGTGCAGCTGCCTCTGAGGACTCCATGACAGGCCCAGAAGATGGGCTGTGATCCATCAGATCAGTGTAGTTCTCTCTGTTTTATATACTGGAATACCACTTAAGATTTCATTTGAGCCTGGTGGTTATGCCTATAGTCCCAGCACTTGGGAGGCGCAGGGAGGATGACTTCTCAGTCTGAGGCCAGCCTGGGCTAAAGAGTGAGTTCAACGCTAGCATGGACTACACTTTAAAACCCTGTCTCAAAAACGAAACAAAAAAAAAACAAGTATCATGGCAACGTGCCTGTAATCCAGGTACTCGGGAGGCTGAGGCAAGACGATCGCCACAAGTTCAAGGCCAGCCTAGGCTACACAGTGATTTCAAGGCCAGCCTGAACTACACAGGAAGACCCTGTCACAAAAACAAAACAAAACAAAACAAAAATGTCCTAGGCAGAGCCTGATCTTCACCAAACACCCAGGACTCTTGGTAATTTCACTGAGCCTGAAGCAGGGTCCTCAACAGCACAGGTGCCTCAGATTCAAGGCTGCTGAGCCCTGACGATGTTCTTACCCAAACTTAGTACCTGGAACCCTGAACCCTTCTCTCCTGGATTCCTCTTTATTGTGCCTTAAAGATGCTCCCTTCCTGCTCTCACTGCCCACAGACCTGAGTAGCCAGAAGTAGTGGGGTGGTGGGTAGGACAGAGGGGCGGGAACCAGCACACAAATGAATACACTTCCTTTATCAAGGGTGACAAACAAAAACAAAAAGAAAAAAGACCAAACATATAAAAACCCAGGGTGCTAGAAGTACAAACTCCGTTCAAATTCAAGCTCGTCCAGACCCTGGTCACAAACCCTAGTGAGGTGCATGTGAGCACCAAGTCAGGGAGAGGGGGACCGGAGTGAATAATCTGAGGCCAAGAGAAAGGGTGGGAAGGGGATGCCTAAGTCCCCTGTTGTTCACCCCCACAGTGGTATCTCTACCTTTCCAATGACTGGGACACCTACCAGGCCCTGTCCTCTTGGCCCCCACCCGACCTCGGCCAGGGCTTCGAAGGCCAGTCCCAAAGGTTCTACCCCCCCTTGTTCCGTCCTCACTTGCTCGGGCTTCTACCCTCGCTCTTCTCCTCCACATTCTTCTCCGTGATTAGTAGCAGGTTAGGGTACTGTTTAAGCCGCAGTGAGGCTGGGGACCAGGGGAGGCGCGGTGGAGACGGGCTGAAGAGAGGAGAAGAGCTGTCCAAGGACCCTCTCTTCATGGGATCCCAAACTGTACAACCAGCTCTTCTTTTGCGTCCACACGGATCTGAGAAAGTGCACTGTAGGCGTAAGCAGCTATCCTGGAGACCTGAGGCAGAAGGGCCAGGGAGGAGAGGAAGAGACGCGTGAGGCGGGATCCAGCTCAAGGTGGCAGGGTGGCAGTGACCGAGAGGAGGGAATGATGGAGGACAGAGCCGAAGAGAAAGGCAAGGGTGCACAAGGCAGAAGCAAAGGAACAAGGGAGAGAGAGAATAGAAGTTGAGAGTAAAGGAGCTGGGGAGGCTATAAAAAGTCAAGAGAGCAGAGGTAGAAGTGAGCTGGGCCCACAGGCTACGACCTGCTCTGAGGCAGGGCAGTATGGGCAGGGTGGAGTAGACAGCCGGGGGAGGCTCACCTGCTGCAAGTCAGAGAAGGGGATGGGCTCGCTGGCCAGCACTTGGTGGGGCTGGCTGGTGAGAGATGGTAGCGGTGGCAACTTCTTCCAATGGGTCAGGCTACTGCTTAGCACAGCCAAGCGGGTACTGGCAAGAGGGAGGCGTTGGGGGGAAGGGCAGTTAGGCTGTTGCCCTGCCCTGCCCAGCCTACGCAAGCCTCACTCAGGCCTGAGGAACAGGGTGACAGGAGTCTCAGCTCATCACAGACTCACTCTGGGTGCACCTCCCTTGGCCTGAGCACTCTCAAAGAGTATATAGGGCAGAGAGGGCTGACACAAACGTCTACAGAAGTACCGAAGTGGTTTGTGGTCAGTCTCCTGGGCCGCAGCCCAGGCTCCAAAGCAGGAAGGGGCTGGCAGGAAGGGGAGGGGCCCGAGGTGGAGCGGAGCGCACCTGTACTGCCTTGCCCGGTCCATGTACTCATGCTGCTCCATGCCCTGCGAGTCTGCAGCGGACACATCAATGATGTTGCTTTGGGGAGAGGAGAAGAGAAGACATGACAGGTGTTTCAGAGAGGGACAAACTGGACTCAGTGTAGGGTGCCAAGTCCCAGGCTATATGACACCAACGTCCCTGCCTGCCCAGTGGAGCAGGGCCCAAAGACACCCTCCCCTGCGACCTTGTCCCATCCCCCATGCCCTGGGTCTGGCTGCCCCTATCCCAGCCTTTCATTTCGACGGGAGCTGTGCCTCTGGCCTGGTCCAGTGCCACTCACCTGGCTGTCTTGGCAAGGATGGAGGAGAGCAGGGCCTGCTCATCTGTGCGAGCAGAAGGCAGGCTGTGGTAGTTGGGCTCAGCTCCATTGAGGGCTTTGGTGGGGGGGCTACTAGGGTCTAGCAGCAGCTTCCGCTCCTCTCGATCCTAGGAGAGGCCATCATAGAGAAGTCAGCCCCAGGACCTCTAGCCCAATAGTACTTTCCTGGAGTTCTCCCCTCAGCTCAGCTCTGCCCTTTAAACACCAAGAAGACTTTTATAAGGAATATTCAAAGTACCAAAGTTATAGAATACCAAATAACACTTGATTCCTGCTGCCCTTTAGAGCTCAGTATAACCTGTCATCTGGGATGAACTAAAGAATCCTAGAGGGCCAGGCATGGTAGTGCACGCTTGTAATCCCAGCACTTGGGAGGTTGAGGAAGAAGGATTGCTGTGACTTCAAGGCCAGTCTGGGCTATATAGCAACACTGTCTTAAAAAAAAAAAAAAAAAATCTTAGAGGGCCTGAAAAGATAGAGGCACAAATCAGGTATTCATCAGCAGCCCTGGAGAACAGTCCTGCACTCAGTGGAAAAAAGGACGCTGGAGGCTGGAAAACAGGAGGTGGGAAAATACTAAAACAGTAGGGTCTAGAGGGGGCATCCCTGCAAGTCAAACACCTAAGAGTGAGCCAGCTGTGGTGGTGCACATAATGCCAGTGTTCTGGGAGGCTGAGGATAAAAAATTTGAACCCAGTCTGGGCAGCTAGTGACTGAGCAAGACCCTGTCTCAAAAAACAGCTGGGCATGGTGGTGCATACGTGTAATCCCAGCACTCTGGAGGCTGAGGCAGGAGGACTGCTGTGATTTGAGGCCAGCCTGGGCTACAAAGTGAGTTCAAGGCCAGCCTGAACTGCATAATGAGACCCTGTCTCAAAAAGACAAACAACAAAAAAAGAACCCCCACCAAATGTAAAGGCCCAGTCCAAAAATGGGCATATGAAATAAACAGACACTTCTGAAATATAGGAGAAACAGCAAGTATTTTAAAAAATTAAATTATATTAAAAAATAAAGAACTGGTGATGTAGCGCAGTGAAGGCCCTAAGTTCCATCTTCAGTACCCCCACCAACAACAAAAGGGGGGCACCCCCAGGACAAAGTCCTCAACAGTAAGGCTGTCTGCTCTCACAATAGAGAATTCAGACAAGGTCGTAAGCAAGGCCAACTCACCGGCCATTCCTCAGGTTAGCGCAGGGCAGAAACACCACCCACCCTCTGGGTCACACCTCAAAGTGTGTTCCCTTCTGTAGGACAGGTCCCTTCTCTCAGGTGTTCACCCTCCCGTCCTGTGCTCTCTCTGTATGTGACTCCCAGACCCAAAGGAAGTATACCTGGTCTATGCTGACGCGATGAACAGGGGTGCTGTTCCGTCCCTTGCCAGAACACCATGCCTCGCTCACTGGCCTAAGAGGCCTCTTTACCTTCCAGCAGCACTGTTACTACCAGCCTGCACTGAGGGTCACACCCTCCAGAACTGGCCTAGAACCAAACCACATCTCCCCAGGCCTGTACAAATGTGTTTCTCCTTGTCCTATTTCAGGCCCTTATTCTTATCTACTGCTTTCTGTATCAGACTCTGCCTTGAGCCCATCAGCTGTAAATCCCTGCTGGCTTTGTGTCAGCTGCAAAGTGGATAAGCAGACCTGCTGTGTGCCTAGCCAGGCCATAAAGAGCTCATGACAAAGTCAAGTCCGGGGTGGGGTAGGGGCACCCTGGCTAATGCTGACTCACCAACCCATCGTGCTGCACCCCCAACCCCCAGGCTCCTCGGTGCTCCCTTCCAGTCCTATCTCAATTCCTACCGCAGAGTTCCCTGCTACAGCATCCAGCTCCCCTTACTGGCCACTTCCTCCTGCTTGTCTGCCCCACCCTGGGCAGGCCCAGCCTTTGCACCTTACTCTTCCTTCTCAAATCTGGGTTGCCCAAGTGTCCCCAGGCCATCTGATCCAATTCCCAAAGCATGAGAAAAAAGGCTGTGGGCTTCTGCCCTGTGACCTCTAAACTCCTACATACTATGTACAGCCATCTTCCTTCTTCTGTATTAAAAGGCTAGACAGACAAAAGGCTTGGCAAAGATGAACCTATCTCTAAGGAAAGCTGGCTCCATAATGAGGCTAGAATTACTCTATGTCCTTTCTCCAGCCTTTTTTTTTTTTTAATTTGAGACAGGATCTCACTATATAGCCTGGCCTGGCAAACACAAGGTCTCAAGTTCAATTCCGGGTACCAAAAACAAAACAAACACAAAAAAGCTGGGCGTGGTGGCACACTCCTGTAATCCCAGCACTTGAGGCTGAGGCAGGATGATCGCTGGGAGTTTGATAACAGCCTGGGCTACTAAGTGAGCTCATGGCCAGCCTGAAATGCACAGTGAGACCCTGTCTCAAAAAGACAAAAAACAAAACAAAACAAAAACCTGTCTCACTATATAGCTCGAGCTGGCCTCAAACTCACAGTGATCCTCCTGCCTCAGCCTCCAGAGTGCTGGGATTAGGATTACTGGCATGCTTGTGCCGCCACACACCCAGCCCTCCAGGCTCACTTCTGACTGATCTTCCTGCAAGACAGCGAAGTAGTTCCCTCACAGGGTTTCAAGAATAAGGTTATTTGTCTAGCTCCTAGAAGAGATCATGCTGCCCCCTTCAGAGTGGACAAATAACATCACTATACACCCAAAAGATGAGTGGAGCATGGGGTAGGTCCGTCACACCGAGGTTTGTCCCTAAGTCTGTATAACCCCAGAGTCAAGGTTTCACTGTTTACCTTACCACATACCCCTATGTATCCAGCCCATGACTGGCCACTTGGTCTGTGGGCATGGATGGCTGAGATAGCTTGACCCAATACACAAAGACAGCCTGACATCAGATCACTTTAGCAGGGCATTTGTCAGGACTGCAAGATCTTAGTCTCTCTTAACTTTTTCCTCACCTTTTTTTTTTTTTTGTTTGAGACACGGTCTCCCTATGCAGCCCAGGCTGGACTTGCACTCACAGCAATCCTCCTGCCTCAGCCTCCCAAATGCTAGGATTACAAGACTGTGCCACACCTGGCTCACTTTCTTGCCCTTCTGTAGTACTGGAGATTTCAGGGACTAGTAAGAACACCAGGCAAGCACTCTACCATTGAACTACATCCCCAACCCTTATTTTTTTGCTTGATTTTTTTTCAACAAGGTCTTGCCATGTAGTTCAGGCTGACCTTGAGCTCACTATGCAGTTCAGGTTATCCTCAAACTCATGGTGGTCCTCCTGCCTCAAAACTCTTTAAGAACTGTAATGTGCTAGGCCTGGTGGCCCATGTCTATAATCCCTGCATTTAGGAGGCTGAGGCAGAGGATTGCTCTGAGTTTGAGGCTAATCTAGGCTACACAGTAAATTCAAGGCTAGCCTTAATTACATAGCAAGACTTTATCTCAAAAAACCAGGAAACTTATAATGGGCTTATATTTCTTTTTATTATTATAGTAAAAGGCAGAAGATCATCTATACCTACTTTGAAAACTTGTATTCTAACAAGATATAACAAAGGGCAGCAATGAGAGTGGGGTAGTGAATGCTATGGCCTTTGCAGAGTGAGGCCTCAAATCACACATAACTGGATCAAGCACCTTCTCTGGGAGTTAGTTACAAACAGAAATGAGAGCCCATCAAGGGGAAGGTGGAGATTTAGGAGTAAACCAGGTCTCTCCTCCCGCTGGAAACAGGCATCCTTCTTCCTAAAACGTTATCCTTTATTCCCTGTAAGAGTCCATACTATCCTTTAAGAACAATTTCCCACTGGGCCATAGCTCTCCCACTAAGTAAAAATACTGCTGTCTCCACCTTCTCTAACAAGCTAGGGTGAATGGCCATGAAGGATGCCTGACATAGTGCATAGGAAATATGTGTTCAGTAGGTGTTCGGAGAATTTAGGATCAGGAGTCACTCATACCTCCCACACAAATAACATTTTCTTGAGGTTAAATCCTTAACTCAAAATACTACAGAAGGAAATAACTCCCAAATACAGTGGTACAACCTACTCTGGACAGTCTTCCCCACTAGACTTCGTATTACTTGATGAAACCATTCTCCTGTCCCTGAGCCTACTATGTGTTGAAAGAATTCAGGCTTAGAAGAAAAAAAACTGTCCAGCAGCTTGACACTTTCTCCATATAAAGGTCTCCCCTTCAAGTGGTCAGCAGGGCAGGGACTGAAGAATAGAAAGTGGGAGTGCATCAAGGGGAAATGGGTATTTAAATACTGTTCAGGTCCCAACCTAACCCTTTCTCTAAAGGGTACAGGTCTACAGCCTCAATCTCAAGACAGACACCTCTCTAGCTAGAGGAACCTTCAGACACCAGGAAGGGTCTGCAGAGAGGCGGGACCAACTCAGAACCAAATAAACATCCCAATCCCTCCTTCCCCGCAAGCCAGTCAAAGCTAAACCCAGAGTACTGCTTCCCAAACAACTTCCCACATGTCTCCGTGTCCTCACTGTAGCTATTAAAATTCTTTACTGGCTAACTCGAATGTCACCAACTTCGGAGCTTTCTGACCCCAGACCAGCAGTGCCAATGACTACTCCAACTCCAGGGGGAGAGAGGAGACGCAAATTTCTGATTCATTCCAGAACAATCTAACTGAGGGCCTCAGCTTAACCACTTCTACAGTGGATTCGAAAAAGCCCACTATTACAAGCAGAGAAGGCGCAGGGAACACGGGAAGGAAGTGTTTCCCAGGGACCTAGGAAGGACTCTTGAAGCTTGTAAAGGTCTGAAGACAAGAGGTTGGTGTAAGAGGAAGGACGGAGTCAGACAGAAAGCCGCCTGCACATCTGAGGGGACTAGGTGAAGACCTGGGGCTTTAACAGGGGTAAGAGCTCGGCTTGGCGTCCCCTCCGCAATCTGTCCCCTACAGGCCTCCGTACTCGATGAACCCAACACTAGGGCTCCCACTCCTCTGTAGGTTTTTTTTTCGGGGCCCCAAGTCCCAGGGTCTAAGCCCTCACTCCCGAGCCCCGCCTGCCGCGGCCGCACCTGGTCCGAGTCTTCGTTTTCGCTGCTGTAGCAGCACCCCATTGCTGGGGTAGGGCCGGGCGCTCAGGCAGCGCCGAGGAGGGACGGCGTCCGTCAGGAGCCCTTCCGGTCACATGACCCGCGGCTGCCTCCCGCGAGCTACTACCCGTTCCCCTCCCCCCTGATTACTCGGTCCCGGAGCCTCAGCCAAAGCCCAGCTTCCGGCCCCACCCCCAGCCGCGTGACCACCACTAACCAATGGAAAGACGCACCCTGTGCGCCAGGAAAGGGGTCACGTGACGCGAGGAAAGGGAGGGGCGTGTCACATGATTATCAGCTTCCCAGTCTGTAAACTCAAATCCTCTAAGCTCTTGGCGGTAGTTATGCTATGTGATAGCATGGCCCTTAGGCTACCTTTCTGGGCCAGTGAGCGAACTCATACCAACTGCTGTCATGCATGATAGACTCTTCCAAAAGCCATATGAAAGGCTACTGAGATCCAGGCCCGAGGCTTCTAGGGCCTATAGTTTGGGGCACATACAAGCCCTAGAAGATTGGTGTCCAGTCGGGGCGGGGGAGGGGGAATTTATACCTTCACTAGTGGAAGTGGAGGCTCCATCTTGCTGACCTATCTCCCTCAGGCCTTTCTCTTCAATCCTGCCTTTGACGGGGGTTCCCTCTGAGACAGAGGGTCACTATATAGCCTAGGCTAGCGTTGAAATGAAGATCGTCCTACCTCATCCTCCCAAGTGCTGTAATTATAGTCCTGTACCTTCATGCGGGGTTGTTTGCTCTTAGAAACCTCTGCTGCCCCAAGTGGTGGCGAACGCCTGTCATCCCAGCGCTTTGGAGCCTGAGGAGGAGGATCGCTGGGAGTTGGAGGCCAGCCTGGGCTCAGTAGTGGGTTCAAGGCCAGCCTGAACTGTATAATGAGCCCTTGTCTCAAAAAAACAAACCAAAAAACCCTCCTGTCTTCCCTTGGGCCAAACATACAGGGCCACATCTGAACTTTAGATTATGCACTGATACCTGCCTCCCACGTCATGTCTTAGGGTGGAGAGGTGGGGAAGGTGCTTCTACTAGCCATAGAGAAATACTTGCGGTTTCTTCTTTTTGGTTTTGTTGTGTGTTATTTTTTGTTTTGTTTGTGTTACTACATATGGAACCCAGGATCTCAAGTGTGGTAGACAAGCATTCTACCATGGGAACTACACTGTCTTTTTTTGTTTTGTTTTTTTTTGAGACAGGGTCTCCTAAGTTTCCCAGGCTGGCTTTGAACTTGCTTCCTCCTGCCTCAGCCTCCCTATTGACTGGGAGCCCTGCCATATGCCACCCAGCAGTACTTGGTTTCCTGATTGATCTGAACTTTGCACCTGGGGCCTGGCACACTATCTCCCACCAGGTCTGCCTACTGTCTACAAGGCTGCTCAATGCAAATGACTTCCATCTGATTACCTTCTCTGACTCCATTCTCTGAGCATTTTCAGTTCCCTGTGCCTCATCTCTATCCAGTGTGAATTAACTCATTAGGTCAGTGAATGTTTACTGTCTACTGTGTGCCACCCCAGTGTTCTATCTAGATAGACAGTCATTCAGAAAAGTCAAAAGTTCTTGTACTCACAGAGCAAGCACTCTAGTGATCACAGTACACTGTAATTTTTTATTCCTAGGTCAGTATCTTTGACCAAACTGAGAGTTCCTGGAGGACAGGGGCAGGTTCTGACTCTTCTGTGACCCAAGCCCTAACACGTGCTTAGGGAAAACTTGAATTCTGAGTTGAGCAATTTATAGTTTCTCCCTCACCTTGGCTCACAGCATGTTTCATGTCCTGATCCAAGTGACTGGGGGAGAAATCACCAGATCTAGCAGCATTTACTACTCCTCCAATCAAAACCCTGGAGTTCTCTTAAGTTTTTTGAAGTCTCCTACAGTATAGCGGGCAGCTCTAGTAACTTGAACTGCAAGTCTCAGGTAGCAACAGCTGCCTCACCATCAATAATTGAAAGCAAGTCCAGCTTCCCGCCTCAGGATTATCCCCCCAAGGACTCCCCTTCCTTCCTGGTACTCCAGTCTTCCTAAGCAGGAGCATCTACCCCAGGTAAGGTAGGCTTTGTGGGTTCCCATGTCCACCATCACAGACCTGTTCACATCCACTCATGCATTCTGCTTCTGTCCTCACCCACCCCTACCAGAGGCCCTGGAAGTCCTGCCAGGTCAGAGCTGGAGGGGGAGGATGGTCCAGGACTGGGACAGGGGAGGGCAACCATCCTTCACAGGGGACTTGGGGAAAAGAGCTGAGAGTGAGGAAAGTGTGTGGTGTTTTTATGTATGCACTTGTAAAGGGAATTCTGACAGCACAGGGAAGGAGGGAAAAAAAAAGAGGGGAGAAAGAAGGGAAGAAAGACAGAATCAAGGACTCCTTCCACCTTCAATGAAGAGCAGAGTCCTGGGGTGGGAAAAAAGGCATCTCACCTAAAACCTTATGGAGTATTTTAATTGCCTTTTACTGAGGCAATTAATTACAGTGACAATGCAGCACTTTCTCAACCAAAGAACCAACCTTTTTCTGCTGCACAGTATTAGATGAAAGGAGACCAAGCAGCTATGGGGTCTGGTGGGGGTGAGGATATTGTAGAAGGAACTGGGAGGTCTTGAAGAAGGGGTGACATCAGGAATAAAAGAAGTGGGTGAGGGAAGTGATGAGATGGGAGAAGAGGTTGGGACTGGAAAGAGGTGGTTTGGGTTTGAGCTAAATATGGACAATATAGAATTTTTTTTTTTTTTGTCTTTTTGAGACCGGGTTTCACTATGCAGTTCAGGCTGGACTTGAACTCACTTTGTAGCCTGGGCTGACCTCAAACTCATCGCAATCCTTCCGCCTCAGCCTCCTGAATATTGGGATTACAGGCGTGCACCACCACACCTGGCCTAGAATCTTTGAAAATACACAGGCATAAAAAAATATATAGGCTTGGAATCATACCAACCTGTATTCAACATCAGCTTTCTGCGCTTCATCTTTATCCAGTGTCAATTACTTTTTGTTTTGTTGTTTGTTTTACTTTTTAAGACAGAGTCTCACTATGTAGTTTAGGCTGGCCTCAAACTCATGGTTATCCTTCTGCCTCAACCTCCCAAGTGTTAGGATTCCAGATGTGCATCACCATGCCCAGCAATTAGCTTTTTTAAAACCAATGAATGTTTCTTGTTTTCTTTTTTTTTTTTTTTTTAAAAAACCCCTTTTTTTTTTTTTTTTTTTTTTTTTTTTTGGTTTTTCTCTGGTACTGGGAATTGAACTCACGACCTTGTGCTTGCCAGGCAGGCACTGTGCCGCTGAGCTAAATCCCCAGCCCCCCAATGAATGTTTCTTATCTGCTGTGCCCAGTTCTGCAGTGTGACTGGACAAAGGATACAGCCTTTCTCAGCCACAGTCTGTAAAATATGAGCAGAGCGCTGAGGATTTAGCTCAGCAGCATAGCGCCTGCCTGCCAAGCACAAGGCTGTGAGTTTGATTCCTGGTACTGGTAAAAAAAAAAAAAAAAAAGACAAAATACTGCAATTTTCAGGAAAATCACTGTATTAGGAATGTGCAATGACATAAATAAAAGCCATTTTTAAAACTGAAAAAAAAAATATGAGCAGAGCAAATGCTACTGGCAAAGTCTGCACATTGACAGGCAATTGGTGGGTGTGGGTTTCTCTCCTACCTCTTCCCATCCCAGGGCCCAGATAGGCATCATGTCCCCTGCAATTGCGCTGGCATTCCTGCCATTGGTGGTGACATTGCTGGTGCGATACCGGCACTACTTCCGACTGCTCGTGCGCACAGTCCTGCTGAGGAGCCTCCGAGATTGCTTGTCAGGGTTACAGATTGAGGAGAGGGCCTTCAGCTATGTGCTCACTCATGCCCTGCCTGGGGACCCTGGTCACATCCTCACCACTCTGGACCACTGGAGCAGCCACTGCGAGTACCTGAGCCACATGGGCCCTGTCAAAGGTCAGTGTTGCAGGAAGCACCCCCAAGAGGGTGAAGAAAGATCTGGGACCTGTTGCTGTCTTGTTGGGTGAATTGGGCAGGTTCTTGTTCTTCCTTGGGTATCTTTTCTCATCTGGAAATGGACTTGTACTGAGTCATTTATTCATCTGGTAAACATTTATTGCCATCTATTTTGTACCAGATAATGTGCTAGGTAGGGAAGAGACAGAGACAATGGAGATGAATCAACCACAAGCGCTGGCCTCAAAAGGACCATAATACACTAGGGAACAACTATAATTCACAGCTTTGTAATTGTCCATGCCCAAGTCTTTCTTCCCTACCATGGAAGTTTCTGCATCCAGTTCAGGATAGCACTGCCAGTATTTATCTCAGTCCCAGCTCCCAGCAAAGTTAAAGTTTTATTTTAGGGGCCAGGAAGATAGCTCAGTGGCATAAGCTCCTGCCTGACAAGCGCAAGGTCCTGAGTTCAACTCCTAGTACCCCCCCCAAAAAAGTCGTATTTTAAAAACTCATCAATTCCAAGATCAGAAATATATTCAGTGAACAATAAAAGGGGGTTGTGTGAAACTAGAAGCCTCTCAGGAGCCTTGAGGATGCAGTGGTTGTTTCCATCTGGATGCTTCTGGAGGAAGCAACATTTGAGCTGAGCCTAAAGGACTGGTTTCAAGTTGGCCAGGCAGATGGGGATGGGAGTGGGGAAGGGCAAAGCCAGTCACATGTACAGATGTGGCATGGAGGAATGAGACACCATGGTTGATTCTGGTAACAGCTGTTTGGGATGACTGTGATTTCAAGCTACAGCTGAGAGGAGGCGAGAGCTATAGCTGGAAAGCTAGGATAGGATCAGGTCTAAGAAGGTCCTGAATGCCAGGATGAGGATCCCAGTTCAACCCTAAGGGCCTTTAAAATCACAGGAGCCAGAGACTGACAGATTTGTCAGATTTCTAGAAGCTGGTGTGAACAGACAATAGGGGGCAGCAGGACCAGTGGGGCAGTGGGGAAGAAATGAGACCCCAGTTTGTTGGGGGCTACAAGGAGACAGGTAGGAACTGGCAGTCTCTTTTCATCAAGGGCCCTGTGTCCACCTCCCATGTCTTCTACAACAGCTGTTTTGCCCCGCAGGTCAGATCGTAATGCGGCTGGTGGAAGAGAAGGCCCCTGCTTGTGTGCTGGAGCTGGGCACCTACTGCGGATATTCCACACTGCTTATTGCCCAAGTCCTGCCCCCTGGGAGTCGCCTTCTCACCGTGGAGCGGGATCCACGCACTGCAGCAGTGGCTGAGAAACTCATACGCCTGGCTGGCTTCGATGAGCGCACGGTCAGCCTCCCCATCTCCCTAACTCTTCTCTGACACCCCTGCCTTGCCCTACCCAGGCCTCTTAGCAACTGTGATCCTGTAGGGTGTGTGAGCTTCTACCCTCCTGTCCCTAGTCATCAGCACATGCTTTCTGCTAGATGACAAAAGCAGCTAAGAAATCTCTATAGAGTTTAGCAACTCTGACTCCAAGTCTTAGTCTGACTCTGGTTAGCTGTGTGACCTTGGCAAAGCACATATCCTCTGAGTCTCAGCTTCTTTGAGGGCAGAATGGAAATTACAATAGTGACCTAACTTGGGTTCTGAGGCCAGAGGACATGTGAGACACTCATGGGGACTCAGGGCAGGTGCTGGTGGGGCCCAGAGGGAAAGGGATCCCTCCCACCCTCACACTCTGCCTTCTCCTACAGGTGGAGCTCATTGTCGGCAGCTCAGAGGAAGTGATTCCACGCCTACGAGCCCAGCATCAGCTGAGTCGGGCAGAGCTGGTACTCCTGGCACACCGGCCCCGATATTACTTACGGGACCTGCAGCTGCTGGAGGCCCATGCTCTGCTGCCAGCTGGTGCCACTGTGTTGGCTGACCATGTGCTGTTCCCAGGTGCACCCCGCTTCCTACAATATGCCAAAGGCTGTGGCCGCTACCGCTGCCGCCTACATCACACTGGCCTCCTAGACTTTCCTGCCATTAAGGATGGCATAGCCCAGCTCACCTATGCTGGACCTGGCTGAGGTCCAGAACCAGGTATATTTACTTCTTTGCCCCCATCCTCACCCAAACAAGGACCTCAGAACATCCCCTTCCCTCCCTATTTGGGGTCCAACACACGTTGGGCTCAAGGCTGGCAGGCTGTCTCCCCAACTCTGCCTCTTCCCAGCCCTCACACTGACCTAAAGAAGTGTCAAATTTTATCAGACTGCTTGGTCCCACTGGTCCTCCTCCTTCTAGAGTGAGAGCAGGAGGCCTCAGCTCCCAAGCCAGCTGTCACTGGCTTGTTGGGTGACTCCCTGCTCTAAGATTTAATCTATACTAAGAGAGTTGGCTAGAAGATGCCTAGAGCCTCCTCCCGCTGCCTCAGGAAGCCTCCCCTCACCTTGCCTAAACCTTGATATCTTGGGCAGGATTAGAGGGAATGTAAAATAACAGCAGGCCCTGCAGGAATGCCCGAGTGCAAACTGTCACACAGAAGCCTGGGTCCAGGTCCTCCAACCCTGGCCTACCTGGCCAGTTAGGTTTGCTTCATATCCCTTGAATGCCCTCTTCTCCCCTTAAGCCCAAGAGAAGATGTTGGACTCCTCTAGATCCCACCTAATAGGGAATAGACATAGGGAAAAAAAAAATCAGTCCTGTGTCTTTATTAACAAGGGTTAGAAAGATACCAAACCTGGCAACCAAGGGGTGAGGTACTGGCCAGGAAGATGGGATAGGCTCAGGTCTGGGGATTCAAGGGCAGACTGATGGTCTGGGGCGGAGGTATCAAGATCAGGTCCTGACAACAGACAAGGACGTGCGCAAAGGTGAGCCTTCAGGTACTGGGACCATCAGCTAGTTCTGTGGACTGAGAAGTTGGAGCTGGGGATGCAGGGTAGGTTGGGCTGGCCTGGAATCGCCACTCTGCCTTGTCTACCTAGATCATCCACTGGTCCTGATCCTGTTCGTTGCCTTCCATGTCCACCTGCAGAGGAGGTTGAGTGTGGGTGGGGTGGGACCTCAGCCCCAGATCCTGCCCCCTGGTGGATCCAGCATTGCTATACCCCTTGGCCATCAATTAGTATGGATCAGGGGCCCAGGAACAGAAACCCTCACCCTACAACCCGTGCCTACCTCATTGACTTCTCCATCATCTGGTGATTCATTATAGTCATTCATCTCATCCATGTCCTGCATGTCTTCATCATCTTCTGAGTCCTCTTCACTATCCTCGTCATCATCTTCATCCTCCTCTTCCTCATCATCATAGTGCTGGTATGGCAGGGGAGAGCCTGAAGGCCCTACCAGGCTGCTCGGACCAGTTTAAGAGCTGGCCCACATGAAGCTTCCCTCTCCCTGCCCACGGCCCCAATGCATCTAGCAGGCTGGTGCATGTTCTGTAAGATATTAGTAGCAGGCCCCCATCCACCCACTGTAGCTCCCCTTTCTATCCTTCACCCAGACTGAGAACCACTATTGCTGTGGCTTGGAGACAGGACATTCAGAATTAGAGTAGAGCTTTGGGGGCTAGGGATTTAGCTCAGCAGCACAGCGCCTGCCCAGCAAGCGCAAGGCCATGAGTTTGATCCCTGGTACCGGAAAAAAACAAACAAACAAAAAAGAGTAGAGTTTTTGCCCACCATGGGCCTCAAACAGGCCTCACCTGCTGCAGAAACTTACCTCTGAGGCTGGCTTGCCAATAGGTACCAGGTTGTTGTCTTTCTCTGCAATGCTTTGGAGCTGTGGGCAAAGTGGGGTTGGCAGGGCCCAAGAAGGACAGATCAGGGGCATGGAACCGACCCACTCTGACCCTAAAAGGACCCCTAAGTGTTGAGAAAGAAGCTTCCTCCCAATTCTCAGGAAAATTCAATCACTTCTCCTGTCAGCTGCCACTTATAAATTTGATCCAACTATTTAAACTCTCTAGGCCTGGTTTCTGTGCATAATTACGGTAAGGGTGAAGAGACAGCTTAGAACATGGCATCTGCTAGATCCAGGATATAATAGTTAAAATTATTAAAATTATTAAGTCCTGTGCTTGAGCTGGGGATACAGTGGCATACTGCCTGCCTGGCAAGCACAAGGTCCTGAGTTCAATTCCTAGTACCAAAAATAAATAAATAAATCCTGTGCTTTAGGGAAAAGTTTAGGCTGAGTAAAGGGAATCCGACCCCTAATCTTGCCCAGAAGTGCTATGGTCCCCCAGCAAATGAGAATGTCACAAAGATGAGAGCCTTGACCCCTGGCTCCCAGTCTACCTACTCCCAGCTCAGGGCAAACAGCTCTTCCAGGGCAGGTTTCCAGAGTAAGACCGGCTGTGTGTGTGTGTGTGCTGTACTAGATTCTCACTCACCCAGGCCTGATGCTGCTGTTCCTGCTGCTGCAGCTCTGTCTCCTCCACACAAGGTCGATCCAGATTAAACCACAGTGTCTCAGTCACACGGGGGAAGAGTGAGGGGAACAAGGTGGACATGGCTCCTAGACTGAGGAAAAGTGTAAGGTAAATGTGTTTTGCTTCAGATTTCAATTGGTTGTAATCTGAATTAGGAACAGGGTGGAGTGGAAGGTAGCAGGGAAACAACTCTTCCCTCTGGGAATCACACAGACCTGGGTTTGAGTGCTGGCTCCACCTCGCTAGCTGTTTGTGGCCAAGTCACTTAACCTCTCTGGGGCTCAGTTTCCTCATCTGTAAAATGAGGATAATAACAATTATACCACCCTCAAAGTTATTCTGATAATTAATGTTCAAAGCTCTAGGTTGTTTATGGGAGGAAAAGATAGGGAACCAACTATAGAGATGGAATCCAGAATACAGGCTGGCATTACAAAATGAGAGGCATTCCCTTGCCAGCTGTAGTGGCACACACCTGTAATCCCAGCACCCCGGAGGCTGAGGCAGGAGGATCGATACAAGTTCAAGGCCTGCCTGAATTACCTAGTGAAACCCTGTCTCAAAACAAACAAAAAAACGGGCAACAGGGCTCTCCTAAAATTATCTTTACCCGCCCCCGCCAAATCTTAATTTTTGCCCCTTTCCGATGGTCCATGCAATACCCACCCAGTGTGAAAAATTTGGAACAGTAACCACCTCTCTCATTCCATCAGTCAAACTGGGGGATAGAGGTTGCGCCACGTGCAAGCAGGGTTTAATAGGACGTTCTAGAAGTCATTAATACATGAATTTATAAGTAGATGAAAGATTGAACGGATGGACTAATATGTATGAGAAAAGTAAATCAGCTGAGAAAGGTGACCAAGAACGTCCCAGGGAATCTGAATTAAAACACCTCAGCTCACAGACAGGCAGACTGAGACCCCGCGACAGGCTGACTGACTGGCTTTACGTCATTCAGTTAGCCAGGGCTTAGAACTCGCGCAGGGAAGCGATCCAAGCCAAGCCCTGGAGGAGGAGAGCAGAAAAAAAGAATCCATATGAAAGCCAGTTTTTCCCGAACTTATTTGACCAACCCAGGACCAGTCGCTGCCATTCTATGGAACACACTTCCCAGGCCCAGTCTCAAGCACAACAGGATCCACCCTCTTTCCCCATAAATACTGACAGAGACCTTGCCTCAGAAAACCCAACCCACCGCCTCAAACCACCGCCCATTCTTTGCTTATTATAATAATGACTGCGTGGTCAACCAACAGAAAGAAGGCAGGGGTGGGCCTTTGACAGGAGTTTAGCCTTATAGGGTTGATAATTGCGAAAGGAGCGGGGCTTGGGTAGAGCCAATTAACTGAAAGAAATGCCGGGTGACAGGAAGTGACACCAATGAATGACGGGTCTGGTGTTAATGGGGTGGGGCTTAGTCTCAATGAAGAGGCCAATGAGGAGCAGCTTTAAGGGCGAGGGAGTCGGAACACAGAGTTCCAAAGCAACTGGGCTTCTGTGGGGGAAGGAAGAAAAAAGGAGCAAAAACACAACCACACCCTCGCTTCTGTACTTACCGCGGCGGGAGGCGGCAGCCGGCGGCGACCCGGAAGCGCTTCTCCTAGATGGAGCGGAAGGACCCACCAAACGCATGCGTCCTTCGTCTCCTTTTGTTTCCCGACCCTCCCCAGCCTCTTACAAACCGGAAGTGACGTAACATCGCTTAGTCTGGTACTAGTTGGAGAACGAAATTTGTAGTGTTTGCCTATTGGCGGTGCCTTGAGTCTCCGCCAATCCTCCTCTCCCGCCGACCGCTGGCACCGCCGCTTCATCTAATCGCTCCCCTCCATCTCTTAGTGTTTGCGCTCTAACTCCTGTAAAAAAATGGCCACTATCGCGCTGCGTAGTTATGGGCTTTCTTCTGTTGCTTTCCAGGAAAATCTTTCACCTCTCAGACTTAGTTTCCGTCTAAAAGGATAGCGTATCTGTTCCTTTATGTCTTGAACAAAAACATGTGATTATCATATTTCAGGCTTTGCTAGAAGCTGGAGGATAAGTTAATGAATATGGGCACTGTCCCCAAAGATCTCAGTTCATAGGGAAAGCCTGACCCTGCGGACCTCGAGTGGAATTATTGGTTCCCCCCACCTGCCTTTCCCGGTACGGGGAATTGAACACAACGCTTTCCTACTGAGCTACATCCCCAGGCCCTTTTAAATTTTTGAGACAGGGCCGGGCATGGTGGCCCACTCCTGTAATCCTGTCACTCGGGAGGCTGAGGCAGGAGGATCGTTGCGAGCTCAAGACCAGCCTGGGCTACAAAGTGAGCTCAAGGCCAGCCTGAACTGCACAGCGAGACCCTGTCTCAAAAAAAAAAAAGACTATATATATATAATAAAATTTTGAGACAGGGTCACACTAAGTTGCCAAACTGCCCAGGCTGGACTCCTATTTGGGATCCTGTCGCTCAGCCTCCAGGAGTGCTGGATTATCTTCGTGCGCCACCAAATCAGGCAACTCACTAGTATTTTTTTAACTTTGTCTGTCCAATTCTGACATTGGCGGTTAAGTACAGGTTTGAGGGACTAGTAAACCTCACAGCACAATACTGCAGGGGAACTCAGCTATCCTCCTCAGGACCAGACCAAAATAATCCCCGTAGAGTTCAGTTTGGCCACCTGTCCTCGTTTTTGATTCTTCGGGGTTTTTTTTTTTTTTTTTTTTTTTTTTTTGAGACAGGGTCTCCTATAGTTCAGGCTGGCCTTGAACTCACTATGTAATCCAGACTGGCCTCAAACTCGCAGCGTTCCTTCTGCCTCAGCTTCCCAAGTGCTGGAATTACAAGGGTGCGCCACCACGCCCCTCAGTTCTTGTCTCTGACCCAACCTTCCCTTCATGGATTCTCATGCTTTCTGATAAAAGAAATCTTTCAAACCCAACTCTTAGTAAATTCCATCACCTACCAGCCTCTTTAAGAACCAGCAATCATCCAGGGTTCCACTCCTTTGCTGACCAGATGGGAACACTCTGGCAAGTCCTTTACTCTGCATCAGTTTGCTTGTTTGTTTCTTTTCTTTCTTTCTCTCTCTCTTTTTTTTTTTTTTTGTCTTTTTGAGACAGGGTCTCCCTATGCAGTTCAGGCTGGCCTTGAACTCAATTTGTAGCCGAGGCTGGTCTCCAACTCACAACAACCCTCCTGCCTCAGCCTCCCAAGTGCTGGGATTACAGGCTTGCACCACCACACCCGGCCTCAGTTTCTTCTTTAACCAGCATCTTTTTTTTCTTTGTTTTTTTTTAGGAAAAAATAAAATATCATAATCAATTCATAAGAGAACAACAGTAGTTATTACACTGTATAGTTATCTTCAAAGTAGTTACTCAGAGTACCAGACATAAACTGAAAAGATTCTTACAAAAAAGAAAAACATAATACAAATCTTTCAATGAACTAAGATAAACTAGTAGTATAAATGAAACCAGGTAGCATGTATACTGAAATATTTTTAAAGCAATGGAATTTGTAATTTGCGGAAATGTTTGAACTTCTGTTGATTTCCTATTTATCTCTCTTCTACTTTGGTCTTTGTGTTTCTCAGATAAGAGAAACCATGTAATATTTGAGCTTGTATGTCTGACTTATTTCACTTAACATTATGCTCTCAAGTTGCATGCCATTTACCTATGAATACCTCAAGTTTCATTGTTTTGTTTTTGTTTTGAGACTGGTTCACACTGGCCTTGAACTCACTATGTAAGGGAGGCTGGCCTTAAACTTGTGGCAATCCTTCTGCTTCCCAATTGCTGGGATTACAAGTGTGCACCACCATGCCCAGTTTAAATTTTTCTTTCTTTATGGCAGCATACTACACTGTTGTGTATTAAAACTACATTTTCTTTATCCATTCATCTGTCAATGGGTATATATGCTGTTTCCAAGCACTAGTTAATATATATATAATGGTACCAGGAATCGAACTCAGGACCTTGCACTTGCTAGGCAGGCACTTGTGCTGCTGAGATATATCCCTGGCTATTATATATTATGCTGCTATAAATGTGAGTATGCATGTATCCCTGTAATATGATGATTTTAACTCTTCTGGGAGGATACCTAGAAGTGGGATAACTGAGTCAAATAGTTTTTTGAGGAATCTCCACACTGATTCCATAGTGGTTGTACTAGTTTACATTCCCACCAACAATGTAGTAAAGTTCCTTTTTCCCTATATCCTTACCAGTATTTGTTATTATTAGTTTTTTTTTGATGATAGCCATTCTTTCTGGGGTAAGATGGTATCTTGATGTAGTTTTAATTTGCATTTCTCTGATGACGAACAATGATGAGCATTTTTTCATGTATTTATTGAGCAACTGTCATTCTTCTGAAAAGTGTCTATTCATTTCAGTTGTCCATTTTTTGACTGAGTCTTTTTCTTTAATTTTTGTGTTTTTTTTGTTTTTTGTTTTTTGTTTTTAGTCCTCTGTCCAAGGAATAGCTGGCAAAAATTTTTCTCATTCTGTAGCTTGTCTATTGACTCTGTTGGTTGCTTCAGTATTATTTCCTGTGCCATTAGGGTCTGTTCAGAAAATTCGTACCTACACCTATGTCTTCAAGGATTGTACCTATTTTTGGTTGGGCATGGTGGCACACACCTGTAATCCCAGCACTCAGGAGGCTGAGGCAGGAGGATTGCCCCAAGTTCAAGGCCAGTGTGGGCTACATGGCAAGACCCTACTAAAAAAAGAAAGAAAGAAAAAAACAAAAAGAAAGATAGTGCAGGTATCAAATTTTGGAAATATCTGCCCTTTTCATCCATTTATTCACTAAATACCTATTGATATATCTATAGATCTAGAACCATCATAGCACTATGTTTTTGTTTTTTTTCCGGTACCAGGAATCGAACTCATGACCTCACACTTGCCAGGCAGGCACTGTGCCACTGAGTTAAATCCCCAGCCCCATGATAGCACTACATTGTAGTTATATGATACTAAACAAAACAGCCTCCAAAAGTCCCCCTCATCATACAGCTTCCATTCTAATAAGCAAGATAAACAATGAAGAAGATAGAGATGAAGCTGGGCAGGATGGTGCATACCTATAATTCCAGCTACTTGGGCAGGAGGCCAGCCTTAAAAAGTGCAAGGCCAGCCTGAGCTTGTCTCAAAAATTTTAAAAAGGGCTAGGAATGTAGTTCAGTGGTACAGTGCTTCCCTAGCGTGTAGGAGGCCCTGAGTTCCATCCCCGGTACCACATACACACACGAGAAAAAATATTTTAAAGAGTACAATAAATACTGAAGAGAAGTAGGAAAAAAATGTTGGTGGGGGAGTTGTTTACATAGGGGGGCCCAGAGAAGTCACTGGGGGGGGGTAAATCTTGGGTAAAGGTCTGAAGGAGGGAGGGAAAGCGAGAGAGAGAGAAAGGACCTCTGCTAATATTTAGGAACAAAGATTTCAGGGGAAAGAACAGCAAGTACAAATAGAATAGCTGGAACAGAATGTCCTGTGTGGAGAATGGTAGATAAGGACAGCGAGGCAGAAGGAGGCAGACAGATACAACTTTGCGGCTCGTAGTAAGAACTTGGCCTTTTACTTTGTGTTGGGGAGCAGTGATGGGTTGGGAGCAGAGGATCCACATAGTTTGATTCACAATTTGACAGAGCTATTCTGTCCTGTGAAGAACAGACCATGGGCATGGAGGGAGGGAAACAACCACAGAGGCAGGGAGACCAGTTAAGAGCCTATTACAGCCAGGCATGGTGGCACAGACCTGTAATCCCAGCACTTGGGAGGCGGAGGCAGGAGGATCAATGTGAGTTCGAGACCAGCCTGGGCTACAAAGTGAGCTCAAGGCCAACCTGAACTGCATAGCAAGAC